CCCCCCAAACCCTCCAGGTCCCCCCAGACCCCCAGCCCCTGAGACCCTCCATCCCCCCCCAAACACCCCTGGCCCCCCACAGACCCCGAGACCCTCCACTCCACCACATGCCTCCGTGGACCCCCTGAAACCCCCATCCCCCCGAGATCCTCCACTCCACCACATGCCTCCGTGGACCCCCCAAATCCCCCATCCCCCCGAGATCCTCCACTCCACCACATGCCTCCGTGGACCCCCTGAAACCCCCATCCCCCCGAGATCCTCCACTCCACCACATGCCTCCATGGACCCCCCAAATCCCCCATACCCCGAGATCCTCCACTCCACCACATGCCTCCATGGACCCCCCCCAGACCCCTCATCCCCCCACAGAGCCCCGAGACCCTCCCAACCCCTCACTGACCCCCACGAGCCCCTCCCATGGACCCTCGCGAACCCTCCCATCCCACCACTGACTCCCACAAGCCCCCCCCGACCCCCCACTGTCCCCACCCGCACGACCCCCTCCCGGACCCGGCTGCTGACCACCCCACTGACTCCACCCCTCATCCGCATGAAGCCAGTTACCCCGATATCCCACCTCTCTGCAGAAGGGGAGTGTAGTCTCCTCCGCTGGATTAGAGCGGGGGGGCTGGGAGCCAGGACTCCTGGGTTCTCTCCCCGGCCCTGGGGGGCGAGTGGGGGCTGGTGGGTTAGAGCTGCGGGGGCTGGGAGCCAGGACTCCTGGGTTCTGTCCCCGGCTCTAGGAGGGGAGTGGGGGTTGGTGGGTCAGAGCAGTGGGGGCCTGGGAACCAGGACTTCTGGGTTCTCTCCCCGGCTCTGGGAGGGGAGTGGGGGCTGGTGGGTCAGAGCAGTGTGGGGCTGGGAACCAGGACTCCTGGGTTCTCTCCCCGGCTCTGGGAGGGGAGCGGGGGCTGGTGGGTTAGAAGTGGGGGGGCTGGGAGCCCGGACTCCTGGGTTCTCTGACCCCTGGCCCTGCCCCCGCAGGGCGCTGTTCGACTACGACAAGACGAAGGACTGCGGGTTCCTGAGCCAGGCGCTGAGTTTCCGCTTTGGGGACGTGCTGCACGTGGTGGACGCCTCGGACGACGAGTGGTGGCAGGCGCGGCGGGTCCACCCCGACGGGGAGGGGGACGAGATCGGCTTCGTGCCCAGCAAGAGACGGTACCGGGGGGGGGCAGAGGGGCATTGTGGGAAGGGGGGGACTTGGTGGGAGAAACTGTCGGGCTGAAGTGGCTGTGGGGGAATGTGGGGCTGCAGGTGGGTTGGGGCTGCAGGGCAGTGGGAGGAGCCGTGGGGGGAGAGGTTGTGGGGAGGGATTAGGGGTGGGGCTTTGGGAAGGGGGCGAGGGCCAGATGGGGAGACATTGTGAGGAGCGTTTGGGGGTGGGGCTATGGGAAGGGGGGGGCGTGGTGAGCAGTGGGCGGGGCCGAGACGGGGAGCGGTTGTGAGGAGGGTTTCGGG